GTAGGCTCAGGACGGGCAGAAGGAAATACTACTTTACACAGAGAACGATTAAAAGGTGGAATTTGTTGCCAAAGGATATAGTGATGGCCACGGGAATAAAGAGCTTTAAAAGGGGATATGATGGATTCATGGAGGGTGAGTCTAATAATGGCTACTAGCTCTGGTGGCTGAGGGGAACCTCCCCATATGGAGGCACTAATCCTCTGAATCCCAGAGCCAGGAGGCAGCATCAGGGGAAGGCCTTGGCCTCTGTGCCCTGTGGTTGGCCCTCCAGAGGAACTGGCTGGCCCCTGTGTGAGACGGGATGCTGGACTAGAGGGACCCTCACTGGTCTGATCCAGCAGGGCTCTTCTGATGTTCTTCTGAAGGCCTCGGCCTCTTTGCCCTGCTGTTGGCCACCCAGAGGAACTGGGTGGCCCCTGTGTGAGACAGGATGCTGGACTAGAGGGACCCTCCCTGGTCTGACCCAGCAGGGCTCTTCTGATGTTCTTATCAGGGGAAGGCCTCGGCCTCTAAGCCCTGGTGTTGGCCACGCAGAGGAACTGGTGGGCCTCTGCCTGAGACAGGATGCTGGACTAGATGGACCACTGGTCTGATCCAGCAGGGCTCTCCTGATGTTCTTCTGAAGGCCTCAGCCTCTGTGCCCTGTTGCTGGCCCTCCAGAGGAACTGGCTGGCCACTGTGTGAGACAGGATGCTGGACTAGATGGGCCCTCACTGGTCTGATCCAGCAGGGCCCTTCTGTTGTTCTTATGGGGATGAGCTGTCATTCCAGGAGACCTCCAGGCCACACCTGGAGGTTGGCAGCCCTAGGAACAAACCGTGCGCCCTGCAAACCTGTGCCCATGAGAACCAAGCTGGGTGCTGAGAGCTGCCTTCCTCTTCCCCCTTTGTCTCTCTCTCTCTCCATTCAGGACTCTGTGATCTGTCTCCAAGCCTGGAGAAACAGCTCCTAGTTTTCCCCGGGCACAAATGCGGTAGCCTGCAGCTGGTGGTGAGTATGCCGGGAGCAGCGGTGCCGGTGGAAAATAACCCGGCATCCCATCCCATCCCATCCCATCCCTGGTCACGGCTGGCCAAACCCGGTTCAGGCGAAGCCTCTCCAGTCATGTCTGTCTCTGTATATCTCTCCCCACTCCAGGATCTCTCCAGCACGAAGCCCGGGACCTCCTCGGCCCCGTTCACCATCAACGCCCACCAGAGCGAGATCGCCTGCATCTCCCTCAACCAGCAGGGCACGGTGGTGGCTTCGGCCTCGAAGAAGGGGACCCTCATCCGCCTCTTCGACACCCAGACCAAGGAGAAGCTGGTGGAGCTCAGGAGGGGGACGGATCCTGCGACTCTGTACTGGTGAGGGTTTCCCCAGGGTCAACACTGAATGGACCTCGCTGGGATGGGTCCTGGGATATGCCCAGGGGCCAGGCCTGTAGCCACAGAATCATAGAATGTTAGAGTTGGAAGGGACCTTGCAGGTCATCTAGTCCAGCCCCCTGCACTCTGCAGGAGCATAGCCAAAAGACAGCCCCACAACATACCCGAAAGGTGGTCGTCCAGCCTCCACTTGAAAACGTCCAGCGAAGGAGCATCCACCACCTCCTGAGGCAGACTGTTGCACTGCTCAACCACTCTTACAGTTAGGACATTTCTCCTGATATTTAGCCGGTAACGACTCCCTTGTCATTTCCACCCATTAGATCTAGTCTTGCAATCCGGAGCAAGAGAGAATAGATCTGCTCCGTCTTCTACATGACAGCCCTTCAAATACTTGAAGACTGCAATCATGTCCCCTCTAAGCCTTCTCTTTCCCGGGCTAAACAGACCCAACTCTTTCAGCCTTTCCTCGTAAGACTTGGATTCCAACCCTCTCACCATCCTGGTTGCCCTCCTCTGGACACGCTCGAGCTTGTCAACATCCTTCCTCAAATGTGGTGCCCAAAACTGGACACAGGACTCCAGGGTGGGGCCCGACCATAGCAGAATAGAGCGGAATTACCACCTCCATGAGCTGGACACAATGCTTCTGTTCATGCTTCCTAAGATTGCATTAGCTTTCTTTCATGCCATGGGGCATGGGGGGGCAATGCCCCCCACAGATGAGCACTGCCCCCTCCGAGAAACTTTTTAGAAACCCTGCAAATTAAAAAAAAAGTTTAATTTTTTTTTAAATGAAAGGGGTGTGTGTGTGTTTCAAGATGACCCCAGGCACAGTCAGGGAAGGTCCAGATCCCCCCCCCCCCCCCCGGCTGAAAAATAAATAGGTTTTTAAAAAATGCAATCAAACGAAATAAAACTGTAAAAAATAAAATAAAATTGCAGAATGCAAAAGAGAGAGAGTCGGAGATTCCCTCCCCCTCCCCGGCTTGCACAGAGAAGCAGCCTGGAATCGAGTCTCCCCAGTCGAAAGGACTAGAGGACTAGAAGAGGACTGGAGGTCGCAGCGGAGCCGGAGCTGCTGCTTCTGCCACGCCCCTGCCGGGGGGCCCCAGGAGGCAGCTTGCTTGCCGAAGCGAAGCAAGGTCGGCGTGCTTGGTGGCTGGATGGGAGACCGCCTGAGAAGCTCGGCGGACACCACCACGCATTCCACAAAGGGGGGGGGGGAAGATGGCATACAAATCCGGCGGCGGAGGGTGGAGAGTGCCATCCAGTCGCAGCCGACTTACAGCCACCCTGTAGGGTTTTCAAGGGGAGAGACGAACAGAGGTGGTTTTGCCACTGCTTGCCTCTCTGTAAAGACCCAGGACTTCCTCGGTGGTCCCCCATCCAAATACTAACTCGTCCCAGTGCTCCCTCCAAAATGCCAGTTCGGTGTCGTGGTTAAGTGCGCGGACTCTAATCTGGGAGAACTGGGTTTGATTCCCCACTCCTCCACTCGCAGCTACTGGATGACCTTGGGCAGGCCGTAGTTCTGATAAGAGCTGTCCTTGAAAAACAGCAGTTTCTGTCAAGAGCTCTCTCAGCCCCGCTGACCTCACAGGATGTCTGTTGTGGGGAGGGGAAGGGAAAGGAGTCTGTAAGCCGCTCTGAGACTCTGAGTGAAGTACAGGGTATAAATCCAATTTCTTTTCTTCTTCTTCTCTAAGCTGTGGAGTCTTGTGAGCAAAAATTCTGCTTTGTGAGCTACTGGCATTAAAATTGTAAGCCAGGAATTTGGCTCCTGCATAAATTAGTTTGCTCTGGAGCCATCCCCTTCCTGAGCTAAGACAAGAAGGTGTGAGCCGGAGGCTAAAAAAACTGTGAGCTAGCTCACACTAACTCAGCTTATTATAATCATTTGGCCTTGCATGTAGTATAGCCAGGAAATCCTAAAATTGTCTGGCAGCCTGAAGTTCTAGCTCTTTTAGCATTGTTTTTTTTAAGGAAGAGACGTTTCAGAGGTGGTTTGCCATTGCTTGCCTCCATGTCGTGACCCTCGTATTCCTTGAAGGCTGCCCTTCCAAAGACTAGCCAAGGTCCGAGATCTGACAAGATCGGGCTAGCCTGAGCTATCCAGGCCAGGACAGCGGCAGACCAGTGGTATCAAGCAGCTTCACATATGTTTTGAAGAAATCAGCTGGTGAAATTTTCCGGGGCAAAACCAGCTTTCTGCAGTGGATCAAGTTGCTGTTCAGGGGGCAGCGACAACAGCCCATCACATCAACGTTCACAGCGCTTCATGCCCTGGACGGAGATTTCCAGAGACATCTTTCTGCAGATTGGAACCAAAATGCCGTCGCAGATGGACCTTTCGTCTGGTCCAGCGGGGCTCTTTCTGTGTCCGTCACAACGGTTTCCATTTGAGGCCAATTCCAACTCGCAGATGCCAGTTGGTGATACTGTCTGCGTGCCAGCCTAGCAGTGCCCACCTGCTCCTTCTGCCCACCCGGCCGTGCGTCCTCCTTCCGTTCAGCTCACCTGTTCAGCGCGAAGTAAAAGAGATTTTAATTTTGTGTTTATAAGCGTGAGCTTCGGAAAGGGCCTTTGGCAATTTCCTCTTCCTTTCACGTGAGCCCTCTTAGACCAGTGTGGTGTCGTGGTTAAGTGCGCGGACTCTAATCTGGGAGAACTGGATTTGATTCCCAACTCCTCCACTCGCAGCTGCTGGATGACCTTGGGCAAGCCATAGTTCTGATAAGAGCTGTCCTTGAAAAAGAGCAGTTTCTGTCAGAGCTCTCTCAGCCCCACCTCCCTCACAGGGTGTCTGTTGTGGGGAGGGGAAGGGAAAGGAGATTGTAAACCGCTCTGAGACTCCTTTGGGGAGTGAAGGGTGAGTTATAAATCCAATCTCTTCTTCTTCTTCCTTTACCTCACAGGGTGTCTGTCGTGGGGAGGGGAGGGGAGGGGAGGGGAAAGGAGTTTGTGAGCCGCTCTGAGACTCTGAGTGAAGAGCGGGGTATAAATTCCATCTCCTCCTCCTCCTTCTTCCTTCTTCTTTCTTCTCATCCTCCTGAAAGTACAGTGCAGATCACCCGCTGGTGCCCCAAAAACTACATCTTAAAGGGTTTGCAGTCCAAAAAAATAACAGCAGTTTTAAAGTATTTGTTGTGGAGGCTGATGTATTACTAATGTTTCAGCAACAGGCTTCACAGTCTATATTGCTATATATTTTTATCCTCTTTCGTCCAAGGAACCTGGGATGGTGTGCATAAGGGGTCCCCAACGTGCTCCTTCCAGGAGCCTGCCAAGTGTTTTTAGAAAGTGGGTGGAGCCAGGTGGGGCTGTTGCCCAGCGGCGCTTCTGATTGGCTGTGCAGGTCAAAGAGGCATTCTGTCAAGCAGAGCTTCTGCCCGAAATGTTGAAGACTTACTATTAGATTTATGCTTGGCCCTCACTGGCTGACATTTTATGTTTAGCTTTGTCTCCTGTGGCAGCCATTTGCTTGTTGCGCCCCACCACCTCGTGTCAGAATTCCAAAGGTGCCCACAGGCTCGAAGAGGCTGGGGACCCCCGGTATACATAATTCACCCCCTTCCCATTTTATCCTCATGACATCCCTGTAAGGTGGGTTATAGGCTGAAGGAAAGTGATTGGTCACCTAGGGAGTTTCATGGCTGAACGGGAATTTGAATCCGGGCCTCCCTGGTCCTAGTTGAAACATGACCAGCGGTGATCCTACTGTTGCTTGTGACTCTGTCCCAAGAGGAAGAACTGGGTGAACTGAGGGGCTATGGCTCGCAGAAGGTCCCAGGTTCAATCTCTGGCATCTCCTGTTAGGAAACCTTCTTTTCCGCATGTTTTGCTCCCTCTAGTGGTCAATTCAGTATTACATCGGTGTGTGTCCAGCATATTTCCCTGTGCTTTAAATCTGCAGGGAAATGTGCTGGACGTACAGAGATGTAATAGCGAATTGACCACTAGAGGGAGCAAAACATGAACATAAATTAAGCTGCCTTCTGCTGAATCAGACCCTCGGTCCATGAAGGTCAGTATTGTCTACTCAGACTGGCAGCAGCTCCCCAGGGTCTCAGGCAGAGGTCTTTCACATCGACTACTGCCTGGTCCTTTTTACTGGAGTGGCCGGGAATTGAACCTGGGACCTTCTGCATGCCAAGCAGGGGCTCTAGCACTGAGCCACAGCTGGCCTCCTCCCCAATGTAGGGATATAGCAGCAGAACAGCAGAAGTTGCAAGTATGGTCCATCAAGGTTAGTCTTGTCTACTCAGACTGGTAGCAGCTCTCCGGGGTCTCAGGCCTTTCCCATCATCACCTGCTGTCAAATCTTGTAACTGGAGATGCCGGGGATTGAACCTGGGACCTTCTGCATGCCAAGCAGAGGCTCTACCACAGAAGAAGAGGAGGAGATTGGATTTATGCCCCAACCTTCACTCGGAGTCTCAGAGCAGCTTACAATCTCCTTCCCCTCCCCTGTGAGGTAGGTAGGGCTGAGAGAACTACTCTTGAGAGAACAGCTCCGAGAGAACTTGTGGCTGACCCAAGGTCACCCAGCTGGCTGCATGTGGAGGAGCGGGGAATCAAACCCGGTTCTCCAGATTAGAGTCCGCTGCTCTTAACCACTACACCAAACTGGCCACAGCCCCTCCACTAAAGCAGAGCTTTATATATGAGCACAGATGAGGGTGCCTTATACTGAATCAGACTGTTGGTCCATCAGGGTCAGTATTGTCTACTCAAACTGGCAGCAGCTCTCCGGGGTCTCAGGCAGAGATCTTTCACATCGACTACTCCCAGCCAATGTTCCCTCTAAGTTGTGGAGTCTTGTGAGCAAAAAATTCTACTTTGTGAGCTGCTGGCATTAAAGTTGTGAGCGAGAAATGTGGCTACTGCATAAATTAGTCGGCTCTGGAGCCATCCCTTCCTGAGCTAAGACAAAAAGGTGTGAGCCGGAGGCTAAAAAACTGTGAGCTAGCTCACACTAACTCAGCTTAGAGGGAACACTGCTCCCAGCTCGTTTTTCACTGGAGATGCCGGGGATTGAACCTGGGACCTTCTGCATGCCAAGCCACTCCTCTACCACTGAGCCACAGCCAGGTCCAAATCCCCACTTCACCACCGACCTCGGGCCGATCACTCTTTGCCACTGGGCCATTCTTTATCCCGTTCTCTACCCCGAGCCAAGGCCCCTCCCACAACCGCAAGCCAACGTGGACCTTTCTGTTCCCCCTCCTCACAGCATCAACTTCAGCCACGACTCGTCCTTTCTCTGCGCCTCCAGCGACAAAGGCACCGTCCACATCTTTGCCCTGAAGGACACCCGTTTAAATCGCCGTTCAGCGTACGTAGCGGGGAAGCCACGTGCTCCGGGGGGGGGGGGGGGCCTGGGTCCAGAAATATCGAGCCTCACCCTCCTTCCCGCAGGCTGGCGCGCGTGGGGAAGGTCGGGCCCATGATAGGCCAGTACGTGGATTCCCAGTGGAGCCTGGCCAGTTTCACCGTCCCGGCTGAGTCCGCTTGCATCTGCGCTTTCGGCAGGAACACCTCCAAGAACGTCAACTCAGTCATCGGTGAGTGGCAGCGGGATGGGGGCGCGAGCAGTCCCCTAGCCAGGATTTTTGAAGTTGGGGGGGCATTTAAACTTCGTTAGGGGGCTCTGGTTAATTGGATTAAAGGTAATTTAGTTCAGTTCTGGGGGGGGAAATAGAGAGGTGCTGTCTGGCTCCCGTAGGTGGCCCTTCATGCCAGACAGCTGTGCAGGAATCCCCAGCTCCTTCCCCGCACCTGCCACTGCTTGGGGCCCCCGGGCTGGATGGGAAGTCGGGGGGGCTAGCCCCGAAATGCCCCACTGTAGCTACGGGCCTGGGCGCGAGGACTAATTTTCACAGTCACGGGCATGAGGAGTGACACCAGGCAACTAAGTCCCAGGTCTGCCCTTAGGGAGGGTGAGGCAGACGACTTCCGGAAGCGGTTTTTCAAACCGTAAGACACTGTCCGTCGTCGAGCATAAGCCCTTGCCTTCGTTTGTTGTAATCATCACGACCAGGGGTCATTTCGTAGAAAAAGAGGTGCCGGAGCTCATTAGCAGAAGGCAACACCCACCGCTCAGGCTCCACTGGACTGTTTTGGATTGCTAGCTATTGGGTGGGTGGGGGG